CGCAGTACCTGTCACATCGAATCTTACGGCATATGTATGGAGTACTAAATGTAGACGAAAAAAAAACTAATTGCACAGTTGGGTGAGAAATCGCGAGACAAAACTTTTGAACCTAATTAGTCCATAATTAGACACTAATTACCAAATACAAACGAAAGTACTACAGTAGCCAAAATCCAAAAAAATTTGGATCTAAACGGGGCCTGAATGATGATGGTGACTCAGATTTAGCCAATTTTATGAGTTTGGGAAAAAATTAATAACTGTTTCGTTTAATTAATGACGATGAGAATGAAAATTATTACCGTATCAGTACCAGCCGAACACGCTGATTAATCACAAAAGAGTGGAGGTGGAGTGGTTAGCTGCTTAAGAAGTACTCTACTCATCCATCCCTGGTGGCAGTAAACTGAAATGTGTAAGGTTGGTAGGGTTAGCTTGGGAAACATGCATAGGGAGTTGTGAAGTGTCCACTGTACTGTAGTATACTGTCACCAAGAGAACATAATTTTGTTTCAAAGGGATTTTCTTTTCCGTCACCAAGTGATCATATTTTGAAATTGCCAATAATCCTGTCTCACAAGGAAAAAATGGAGTAAGAAATGTTGATGCCATAGGGAAATGCAGAGACCCTAAATAAGATAATCACTTTTTCTTTTTAGGTTCGATGAGCCAGGACCAGTTACTAAGTAGTTGAACTAAAAGCTAGCTTAAATTAGCTAAGGTTGACAGACAACTAGTTAAAAAGGCTTGCCAAATTAATTAACTCACCTATTAGCCCTCTTTGTTTGGATGCAATAAGACTAATTTTAGTTATTTTTAGCTAGCTACCAATTAGTTCTTGTATCAAACAAGTCCTTAGTCCTTTTCAAAACTATGGATCTGTTTGGTGTCGCTCTGGCTTCGGCTCCTGCACCAACGCTGAGCTGGAGCTGCATCAAAAGGAAGAGTTTTCCAGGGATTAGTTTTTATGGTAGGGCGGTGTACAATGACGGAGCCTCGTTTATATATATATAGCATGCCAAATTAAAATAACCAGATGCATGTACTTGTTGATGCTAGATGGAATATATACAATTTCACCGTCACCTGACTATGATTATGCTTGCAAAAGTAATGCCAGTCTCTCGTGACTCCTCTTTCTCTCTAGTGCCAAAAATTCCATAACAATCTAGGAGTTTGATAGCCTTTTGTTTCCTTTCTTTCTCCACCTTGTTTTCTCCTTTTTTTCTTTGCATTGCATGTGGGTCCATGCATATAGTTTCTCTCCCTCCAAACATTCTTTTTCTCTTTTTATTTTTCTAAAAAAATAGAAAATACAGGTGTCCACATGGACACCAAACACAAAAGAACAAAATGACACCCAACACAAAAGAACACAAAATAGAAATAAGTGGTTCCTCCATTGCCTTTGGTCGTTGCAGTTTGGTACCAAACAGTTGAGAAGTGTTGGATCAAACATAGCAATGGTGTATGGAACTATGGATGGAGGAGATGAACCACCAGAGCTAATGAACCGTCCAAAAAGGTTACAAAGCTTGTCGTCACATATGCAAATGGAGGAAATAGGATGCCATTATGCCAATGTCCTGACACTAATCTTTTTGTTTGAAGCAAGCCTGCAAGAGCATTCCAAGAGTACTCTCTCTGCCCTTCCCATGCAATTTACCAAGTTCAGGAGGGTGATTGTGCAAAATGAGATCACTGGGTCACATGCCATCCACATGCCTAATTATTGGGGTAGGTGCTAGCAAAATTATAGGCCTGCATGGTAAAGATAAAAGAAATATTTTTCTGGGGGCGAAAGATAAAAGAATACCATCCGTCCAAGTTGACCTGTGATGCTATATGAGAGATGTGAGATTCTACCAGGTCAAGAAGCGTCTGCATGACCCCAACCAAGATTTGTTTTGGCATGGCATCCTTCAAGCAAAGCAACATGGCATTTGTTTTACCTTTCATCTTTTCTTCCTCCCTCCTTTGTTCTTTGTTTCTTTTTCTTTGCATATTTGATTCATTCTTCATAGCTACTTCTATACAATTGACCAAAATTTAATTTTGGTTTACAGACCAGACAACTCATCAATGTGTGACGAAATTTTGCCTTCATCTTAGGAGACAGCAGAGACACATATGGCAAAAGAAAATGGTTTTGCTTCTCAATGATTGCATGCATATGCTATGGCACAAGGGTAGCATGCAAACCCGGGTAATCGCTCTATTCGTTTGGGCTTGTTTGGCTTATAAGCCATGGCTGAAAGTACTGCTGGCTGGTTTGGCGTGAGAGAAAAATATTGTTCGTTAACTGATAAGACATGGCTTATAAGCCAAATACGACCAAGTGAACATGCTGAATACTGGATTTCAAAACCTTAATTTAAACATGGGTTTCGATTTTGCAGGGTTTTTGTACATTATTTGCAGGGGCAAGACTAGTTCACCAAACCAGCATAAATGTAAAGGTTTCTATCTTGACTTGGCGCTCCTTGTTTTCAATTGTTGTCATTCTATAATAATCCATCCATAATCTGCAACGAGGAGAAAAGTCAGATGAAGTACTCAGATTGAACTCATCCCAACACTTGCATCTTTTTCCCTTGGCCTGACCTGGTGCTTGCAGTTACTTACACAACAACCCTGCAAACCTCACCATCAGTCACATTCCCTGCATGTTTTCTAATCCTTGTGCATATTTATACAATGCTCAACTTCCCAGTCTTTTCACAAAATCACAATAATGATAGTCCAGAAACATCAACTTCATAATGACACATCACGTTTTCGATGACAAAAGCAAGAATATTGCAACAAGTTGGGCGTTGGCAGATCAACTCATCATATTTTGTGAAAACAGGAGCACTGCTGCAAAGTGCAAACTGGTGGACAATCAAACCAAACGACCGGGTTGGAATGGATGGACAGCGATGGGTGAGGTAGATGAACATGAGAGAACCACTTCACAAGTTGTCAGGGACTTGCCATGCTACCTGCTCTCAGTCTGTCTCACCACCAGTTTCCTGCAATTTTTGGAGGTAGTCAAGGAGTTGGCTAAAGATCGCATACAAGTATAGCTTTTGTCAAAAAAAAAACGGAGGAAAAAAAAAACACAGAAAAAAAGATGCAGATGCAACAAGATGAGACGGCATCTCATGACCCCGACATTCCTTTCCAGCGACCCTGTGCTGCAATCCTTACACATCACGTCTCATGATTCCCAGATTTTTTTTTATATATACATATACAGCAATAGCTCTAGTGATTTTCATTCGCATGCTATGAATGAATGAATTAGTCGAGCACAGACTTCGAAAATGCTATGAATGGATCATCAGCCCATCAAACTTGCATCATAGCATGTGACTAGCCAAAAGGGCAAAACAGAATTACTCCTGAGGCACAGAAGAATTCTACCTGACATGGTAACCGGTAGAGCGAGCAATTCAGCTACAAGGTTGCATTAAGAAGTCATTTTCAGTTCTTTGTTGTGAGCTGTCTTGTTCATCAGTTTCGATTATGCTTTCTGGGTTTCCTGGGAAAATCATTATGGGCTTCACCTTCCATAGAATTTAGTCTTTACATGGTTTCAGCAGAGGTAAGCAAGAAAGAAACAATAATAATTAAAAAAAACTGGACCACGGCATCAATAATGAAGCACACAAGGTGGCGTGTGGACGGCGGAATAATTTTAGACGCCAAAAAAAGCCTCCACCTTAAATCACAATCATCACCCAACTCAGCCACAAAACTAGTGGCCAAATACATGCTACAATCTTCTGAAAGCAAACTGCCACGAGACTCTTGTCTACTATCTAGAGCTTCCTTGGGCAGTTGGATCATCTATGCACAGCTTGGCTCTGGCAAACATATTACCTCGCATGCCTAAAGAATATATATTATGAATATGAATTTAAGACTTTGCGATATATTATTGCCACCAGCAGGCTTAAACTCCAAGCGATAAGCTCTGCAAAGGGGCAACTGTATGCGTTGTTCGCTTTCTGCCGCATCCAGCCCAGACTGATCTCATATTTCAATTGGGAAGGTCCTGACAAAACAAGGGTAAAAAAGAGGATGATTAAATAGGGCAAACACAAGAAGGTTTACCCAACACGCAAAAGCAGCAGAGCAGCATAACATCAACCAAATTTTGCATATGAGGAATAGATAAATGTTTAGGGAGGAAAGACAGAATGAACAAAAGAGGGTTTAGGTCCCCTGAATAGTATGTTGTTAATGTTGTCTCTATAAGTGTAATTTGTTGATTCCATAAAACCTCTTCTTTAACATATGAATTGTGTCCAATTATATAATGCCACGATAATAGCATGACTTTTCAGAACAACTTGCCATCAGTGCAAACCTGGACAGTAAAAACATGATTTCTTATGAACTTTGTCAACACAATTTCCGACAAAAGAATCTCTAATGATAATGGTACGAAAGCCTGCCGTATCTAAATTATGATTTGGTCACAATCAAGTAAACTGATTCTCAATGAGCAAAATTCTACTGGAGAACTTAGCCACAAGAGTGAGGAGTTAATGCAAGACTGAGTCAGCAGAGTTTTAGAGATCTCAGACCAAAATAAACAAAAGCGTTATTTTTCAAAAGTACAGTAAACGGTCCATACCATACCAAGGAAATGCACTGTGTCCAATTGAAGCCACAAAAATGTAATTGGTAAAAAGCAATTCATGAAAATCTCTAACCAAAAGCATGCTATATCATTACAAAGATACAAAGAACACAGAGCTAAGGCGTATGTTTAAGCTGATTTCTTGACAGTATAAGAAACTGATTTTCAGTTCTAATGCAAGTTCAACATAATTTTGCTGGTAGAAGCAGTACAAGTAATTTGCATTCTGAAAATTGAATCAAGATACAAGAGAACAAAGGTTAGCAATTAAAATAACCAAGTCAAACGGCATTATTCTTACCTGAAGTCATAAGGAAACAAAACATGTCTCCAAATGATTACGCTAACATCTGTGCTTTATTGTTCATCTTCGATATCCCGTTACAAAACGCTTGATCTCTGCAAAGTCTAAAACTGTTTTGACATTGTGAAAAGAAGAACTCCACTTTGTGCTTATCAAATCAACAAGGAACTCAGACTGTTTGTCGCCATTTGTCTGTCAAATAGATGCACAGAGGTATTTGAATGTCACATCCCTCTGGAACAATAATTTCAGTATACGATTTGCAAAACAATAAAAACAAACTGTACCAAATGAGTCCAGGCTATGTAGGATAACTGGGTTGGGGTAATCATTAAGGTATAAAACAACATTTTTCATGTTTCATAGGATTATATACTTCCATAGGAGTTTCAGGCCTTGCAACAAATTCAGATGTTACTTTACTAAATGATCAACTGAAGGGTGATACAAATTGAAGTTCAAATTCAGCTAGACAGGAGAACATCTTGATAATAAAAAAAAAAGAGTTTCCTATAAGAGGATCATGCTGAACTCGTCCAGTCACATTGGCAGTTAGTGTAACAGTCTTTGAGAAATGGTGACAAAGATATTACCTCAAAAACAAAGAAACCCCCAGGTTTCAGAACTGAGGATAACCCTTCACAGAGATGGAACAGATGCTCAAGGCCATCCTTGTCACCATCAAGCACCAACTTTGGTTCATGCCAACCAACCTCAGGTTGCAGACCAGGTAGGTCATCGGTTGGTATGTAAGGAGGGTTACTAATCACACCCATAAGTTTTCCTTTCAAATCTTCCAGAGGTTCAAACCATGAGCCATGCCTTCTTTCAACTTTATCCTGATTCCAACACAGAAAAATGTATTAATCGCGACTTTCTATGAACTTCAGCATGGTTTAATAAATTGAACTGTGCAGATAAATTACAAATTCAAGCTCGTTGACACTCATCTTTTGACTTCCTAGACTATTATTGACACTAACTAGGGTGTGTAGCTCCCTAACTATTAAAGTGGATGTAAGACAAGCTATCAGAAAGTGATAGATACAGCATGGGGCAAAACAAAAGTGTGTAGTTTTAATTCTATATATACCAGTTTAACACAACAAACGAACACACAATACTATCAGAAAATTCACATTTATGCTCACGACCACCTTTGAGGTGGATGTGAGCATCTTTGGGCATACTTTCAGCATCGATTTGAGCAGCTGAGCATCTTTGAGCATCCAACTTAAAGGCTAAAAGGAACATCTTTGAGCATGCTTTCCTGAACGAAAGCCACACCAAAAGTCGAACGAGGCTACTATAGTTGTATCATCGTAACACATTGTGTCCCAGCTTCAAATTTCCCTAACTTTATATCTAAATTGACAACTCAAAACCATATTTTTCAATCAGTTCGTTCTACATTTTCCAGCCAAACATACACCTATGCTAACTATCCACATTTCAGCCATAAGCAGCGAAACAGCAATGAGCACTCTATCTAGAGGAACACATGCTGACATAGCTCGGTAGACTTCTTGTCACTGACGAGGACAAGATGATAAGTGATAATCATGAGAACGCTCAATTAGCTCTGTGTACGCCCAGTTTTTTTAGATAAAGCAGTGTACTCTCGTTTACTCACTTATAACCTGATCAATGAAAAAAGGGGGAATTCCTTGTGTGCCATTGAAAAAGATCGCAATGTCCTGTGTGCCTCTGGAAAAATTCAACGGTCTTCAGCGCCACTGCTCCGACTTTTTTTGTGCCCTCCATGCCACGGCCGTCAGTTTGAGCTCTAATGCCGTCGAACTGCATATGTGAAAAGTCGAAAATACCCTTATGTCTAAATATATCATTAATTTTTTTTGAGCATCTTAACGACTTCAAATGAAAAAACTCAAAATTAGAAAGTTGTAGATCTCGTCGAGATCTATAATTTTTATATAAAAATTATTTTCATTTAATTCCGCAAAAAAAATATGATTTGATATGATTAATATATCTTAGAAAAATCATAATCTTAGAAAAATCAATTTTTTCGGAATTAAACAAAAATAATTTTTATATGAATATTATAGATCTCGACGAGATCTACAACTTTATAGTTTTGAGTTTTTTCATTTGAAGTCGTTAAGATGCTCAAAAAAATTTAATGACATATTTAGACATAAAGGGTATTTTCGACTTTTCGCACCTGCAGTTTGACGACGTTAGAGACTAATCTGACGGCACTGGCATGGAGGGCATAAAAACAGTTAAAGCAGTGAATAAAAACAGTTAAAGCAGTGATGCTGAAGATTGCGATCTTTTTTTAACGTCACGCGAGGAATTCCCCCGTGAAAAAAAGAGCTCAAAAGAAACACAAGCTCTCACCTGCACCCCGTACCTATGGACGTTTAGCCTGGCGACGTCGATGGCCACCTCGCTGACATCCGTGGCGAACACCCTCCCTCCGGCACCGAGCTCCCTCGCCACAGCCACGGCGATGGCACCGCTCCCGGTGCCGAGGTCGGCCCACCACCCGTCGGCGAATCCCTCGACGGCGCGCACCACGTCGACGACGGCCTCCGTCTCGGGGCGCGGGATGAGGACGCCCTCCGCGACGGTGACCACCAGGTCCCACCAGTGCTCGTTCCCGACCACGTACTGGAACGGCGTGCGCTCCCAGACGTGCCGCAGCCACAGGGCCTCGAGGTCCTCGAGCGGCGCGCGGAGGAGCACCGGGCCGTCGGAGGCGGCGGAGGAGGAGGAGGTGGTGGCGGTGGCGTCGGCGACGAGCCAGCAGAGGTGGCGGTGGAGGTGGGGCGCGGAGGGCGGGACGAGCGCGGCCGCGCGGCGGCAGAACGCGGCGAGGGCGGCGGGCGGAACACGGTGGGACGCTGGGCGGAGGAAGAGCGGGGTGGGGTCCGCGTCCGGGGGCGGGGTGGAGGTGGGGTCCACGCGGGGAATCGGCGGCGTGAGTGGGGAGGCGGAGGAGAGGGGTTTGGGGAGGAGGAGGCGGTGGAGGTGGAGCGCGCGCGGCCTCGAGTGGAGGAAGGCGGAGGAGGTCAGGGGGCGGGAGGAGAGGGCGAGCATGGCCATGGCGGAAGCGGCCGTCGTGTTGGGTTGCGGGTGAGGACGGGGACGGATGGAGATGGGCTTGTTGGGCCCAAGCTCAAGCTATTCGGCCCATTAACGTTTTATGAGGCAGGTCCAAGTGGAGACGACGAGAGAAGCCACACGAGTACACGACACGCGCAGGCAGCCAGGCACACGGCCCACAGCCCACAGGCGACCCTGCAACTGCAAGCAGGCAATGCCGCCGCCATGCCGCTTGCGTAGTAGACGGCACTACGGCAGGCTGGGTCGGGTCGCTGACGGATCAGGGAAATCCCCGACGAGCAGAACAGCAATGGAGCGTCATCGTCCGGTCACCGGCAGAGGACGGCAGAGTTTAAACGCCAACGGAGCGTGAGCGTGAGCGTCAGCGATGCAGACTTGCAGAGACGATGACAGGTCGGTGCTGGAGCCGTAGCATGCATGCTTCGACCTGCAATGCGAGTCCTCGAGCTTAGCACGAGCAGGGAGTTCTGCTCCTAGTAAACAAATGGTAGTATTACAGTAACGCTGCACCTGCAACCAGCAACTCCGATCCGACGAGGTGGACGGATTCAGGTCTGCCAAGCGAATGCCAGCGAGCTACTGCACTGATTAATGGCCGATGGCGCCAGCGACCGGCCGGGGAGACGAGACGACGACCAGGAACGCATACATTTGTTTGTCACGCACACAAAGATCACAGAGGTCACTGATAACAACAGCAGTACTAAGGTTCTTTGGTCTCACACAGACAGCAGTGACAGTCTCCAACTCTCGATCCACACTGCACTTAGTTCATAACAGGAACAGCAAACATCTCATTGTCTCGAGCAGTTGTAGCACGCAGGTGCAACGGAAAAGCAACTAAATAATACGTAGAAAGATAAAGGCGCCGTCCAGCAGTGATCTGGCGATGCCGAGCGAGGCTGTCAACCTCGGAAGCGGAGGAGCGTCAGATGAAGGTCCAGTTGACGAGCATGAGCGCGAGGCACTGCGGGACGCCGTCGTCACCCACCACCTTCCACGCCACCACCTGCTCGTACGACGCCTGCCGCCCCATGCTCGACCTGCACACGCCGCCGGGAAGGTACGCCAGGCCCTGCTCACAAAGGTTCGGAGAGGCCAGGTCAGCCTAGGTTTCAGACTAGCAATGTCGTCGTCAACTTGGCCATAGGTGGTATGAGCATAGTACTAGTACCTGCTGCATGATCTTGGGGAGCTGTGCGAACAGGGCCTTCTGGCCCTCGTCGTCGAGGACGGCCTCCAGCGGCAGGTCCTGGATGTTCACCACCGTCGTCTCCAGGATGTCGAAGCCGGCACTGTTGGCGAACTTGAGCGTGAAAGCCGGCTGCAAGCAGTTGACAGTGGCCGGTTTCAGGTTATGGCATAAGCTATTATTAGGAAGTGCGATAAGGGAATCATGGAGATGACAGCATGAGATGCGCAGCACCAGACTGACCTTCAGAGAGCAGCAGAGTATTGCGTCGCTGTGCTTCCAGAAAGGCATCAGGGGAGAGTCCGCGCCTTCAGTGTCTGACCAGCGGATCTCCACTCCAGTATGCGCCCTGGAATTTTGAAATCATCAGGAACTCCATACAACTTGATAGCACACAATTCCAGGGTAGTGCTATGGACGAAGAGAGCATTAACAATTCTACAGTAATGCTGGATGAAGAGTTCCAGCGTAAGGCTGGATGAAGAGAGCATTAACGATTCCAGGGTAATGTTGGATGAAGAGAGCATTCACAATTCCGGCAGTAGACCAAATAAAGAACACTCTGGTAGCTGAGATGTAGAGTTGTACCTGTAGCTCCTGCCAATCCACGTAGCTAGTGCAAGTGCCTCAGGAGAGCCCGGTGGATGCTTCAGTTCGATATGCGAGCCAAGGCGAGAAGGAGCAATCGCCATGGCCACCCTCTGCACAGACGCCATCACACCCCTGACATACTGCCTGGCCATTGCTGCCACACTATCGCGAAGGTGATTCTCGAACGAGAACTGGAAGGCGATGGTCAGGACCGATCTCGTGGTGGACGTGCCTGAACCATCGCTTAAAGCATGCAGACCTCCACCTGATCCAACCTCCAGTGCAGAAGCAAGGTCAAGTGTGCGTGTGGCAGATGGCACATCCTGCAATTTTATTTGAGTGCAATAATGTATTGTATTAAGGAATCAGTGTGGCAAGGACAAGATGTGACACCAGGAGTGACGATCTAGATCCGATATACTCACCGTCTTAGCGTCAAGCGGTATCACGCGGAAGCCTGAGGGTAGCAACGGTGCATCATCAGCAAAAGATTCATCAATAGGAGCAAAGACAAGCTGTGCACAGGCACCGGGTGCATTCTCATCAACACCGCTGCACAACTGCAATAGAAGATAATGTCACGCAATCGTTAGGTTGTGAGAAAAGCATGAACCAAGAAGCAAGAAACAAATTAGAAAGCCTCACACCTGCAGAAGAAACATATCCCGAGACATAAGAACCTCCTCATGGCTAAAGCCATGTCCTTCAAGCCTAATAACCTCCAAGCACTGAAATTAAAATAGTAAGTTAGATGGAGCTTATATTGGATATTAACAAGACAGATGAAACAAACCATAATCAATAGATTACCTCTTCATGCTCCAAGGTGCGTGCAAGGGGTAGTATAACCTGGTTGCCCATAAACCCACCAGCCCTTAAACCTGGAACACCATATGGGTTGGCCCTCAAAGAGGCAGCAGAATAAGCATCAACACCAGGATCAGCCCATTCAGAGCGATGCTCCCTCAAAAATCGCACAAGTATAGCAGGTGGCACATTCTACAATATCAAAAGTACGTTGGGGTAAGGTTAATTATACCACAAAAACAATTTTATGCAAGGAAAACTACCATGAAGATTGTACATTTAGTATTATAACAACAAGCAAGCAACTAAATGGACTATAAGGTTATGTAGCATGGAACAAAATTGAGTGCAATGTACAAACCTGCAGTAGCATTGATGCTTTTGCGCACATGATGCCACCCCCCATAGCAGAAAAGAATGGGGAAGGGCTGACATGAGATCCAATAAGTTTGTTTGGAGATGAGTTGATTGTAATTGTAATATCCTCAGCACCATCACTGCTCAACAAAGGAGACCAGCCATCGTCTGGAAAGCCACTCACAGCATCATTCAAGCCTCTGCAAATTAGAGTTTAGATTTCAGACAAGTGGTAGCCAAGAATGGAATGCTATTACAAGACACTCTTCCAGATGCTTGGAAGGTCAAAAAGTCTTTCATCTTTTACACACCTGCTGAGCCTTTGACTGAAAGTTCTGAGAACAGCCGGCTGTCGACCAACACAATACGGCATTTCACCACTTGATTCATGTGCAATTTGCCTAATGTGTCGCAACGCCTATACCGAAACCAGTAGTGTCACTGGTGCATCAGTAAAATTACAGATTCAGGAGTACCACCAAAGCCCAACAGCTGCTTCGCAACAATGAAATTGAACAGTGACACATACCGCAGCAGTCATCTTCTGTGCCAGTATCTTAGGACATTCATAGAGTGGTCGAAGAACCTCGGGCACACTAGAAGCCTGTATTAGAACACAAGATAATTTAGGCACATATCTGCTAAAAATTCAAAAATGAGTAGATGCATATCTTAATAAACTAGCCAAGTGTGCATTCATTAGTATGAAAGACCCACTGCTACTTACATTCAGATCAACATGATCCACAATGTAAATCATGGAACCTCCCCCATCACAAGGTCGAATCAGATAACCACTAGGAAGCACCTCAGCTCTGATAAAATTTGGAGTGTTAGGTCCAGAAGGGCCTCCAGTGGACTGAGTCAATGACCTTTCGCAGATCTACAGAAGACAGATCCACATTGTTACCAGTACTGCATTATGCAGCAAATATAATGATCATGCAAAAGAAGTGGCAGCCCAGCATCAATTAACACATTGGTATTACTAAGGTCAAAAGACACAATTTTACAACAGCTTTCACACTACAGTGAAAAAGGCAGGTAAAAATTGACAGCAGGGAAATTCAACAACAAGATTAAGCTTGGTTGGAACATGACAATGAGACCAACAATATGCATTAGGTCAATTGGGTAATTAAGTCATACCACAAGACTACCATCATCAAGACCACTAGTGTATCGGAGAGTCCAAAAGTCACGCGGTTCCGCCAGAGTTGTCAGTGCATAAGTCTACAGATTAAAACAGAAATTATCATCATTATCAATAAAAGCATAATTACTAGCACTAGTACATAATCAAGCACATAAAAAGACTGAACCTTATGTGCAGACATATACCTGCATATAGATCAGCTCAATCGTTCCACCATTACCCGTAGGGATAACATGGAGGATATCAACATGCCGACAATCGCGATACCACGACGCGCGATCCTTAAGGATCTCAGCAACCTAAATGGAAATTAATTAGATGTCTCACGGCTGCAGAAGCTAAAAGAAAACGCAAGACCAATATATGAATCTACATACCTTTGTGGGCTCAAGGCTCACAAGGCCGCAAGCTCGTGCTGCTACGCCACTGCAGTTGTGCGAAACAGCGATGATTCCAACGGAATCCGGACCAGGCTGTAATCAGAATCATATTTGAAATGGTCAGAGATATCAACATCAGGTGTATCACAATATTACAGTGCATATAAGTACACTACCTAAAAAAGCAAGTACATTACCTTCATCCCAACCATCTGCACCCAGTTGACAGCAGTTCCAGTCGCCTTGGACATGAACTCTGCCAATGTCTCCTCAGCAATAGCGAGTAGACTGGACAAAAGGAAAATTAGCACTAGAGCAAGCATAGAGTTTGAAGACGAATGTAATCAGGTTTCAGACTTACCCTGCTGGGTTGTTCGCATCCCTTTGTGGAGGATGCAGAACTGCTGGGTTTTGCTGTTGGTTGTGCTGACCACTTGTCACCACAGACTCACAGCTTGTGTCGGTGGTGGCTACAGAAGGCTGCAAATTTACAAGCAAATGTTATAGCAAGCAAAACAAGATAAAGCATAAGCAGGGGAAAAACAACTATAAGGCATGCAAACAATACTGTAACAGACTGAATAAAAATGCAGCAAGTCATGCATCAAGAAACCAAACCATTTTTAGTTCAAGCACATGTACAGTTGAAAAGAGAAAAGGAGCTCACACTGTGGAGTCGATTCTTCATATACCCGTTGTCAAAGACGAGACGGGACACCTGCTTCTGCAGCCGGTCATTCTCCTCCATCAACAGCTTATTCATCGCACTCATCTTCCGGTTCACGGTTTGTAGACGAGAGGACTCCTTGCGCTGCTTCTCCCGGCATCTACCAAAGACAATAGAAACACGATTTAGTGGCAGGCACACCTAAAAAGGCAAACAACTAACAAACAGTGGCTTCCAATACACGGGATTCCCTTGTAGTTCTTGATTGGCATAAACCGAGAATGAACAGAAAGAAGGCATTTCAGTAATATTCTCTTATGGCACGAGCGGGTCAAAATTGTGAAGCAAAAGAGACAAAATGGATACTATGTAAGAACCAATATATGTGAATCATTGCCTAATTGAAAGCGATGTGTGTGTGTGACTGCATCTACCAAGTCTAGTCAAAATTAGCACTTCCTGAGCCCAGGGTAAAAGATTCTTGGCTCCTTTTACCCTTCACCAAAGCTTTTTGCTTAAAAGGTGTCGTTATTCTCATTCTTGATTCTTCCACAGTGAGGCACCACCAAGAACAAAACTGTTACCCGACTTTTAATCCGCTGGAAAAGAAGCAAAGTGACAGCCTACGAGGTGATGTTCAGAGGGGCGTGAAGGACAGCGAATGCCACCACCACCACTGAAGTGGAAAAGACGGGCCTCAACCAGAATGCTGTTGGATCAGTCAACAAAGAAACAACACACACCTGAAGGGACAAACAAGAACCCGAGGATTTGGTGCCGAACAACTGTCACCTGTTTCTATTTTCCGATCTCATAATCTCAAATTCAGTACTGACACTTCGATCTACTTCAGTACTACTCATGCATGACTAACTAGCAGCAACCCCTACGTTCTTGACTTCTTGGCATACATGTGTAAGGTTGACTGACACCTCGCATTCACGCCTGTCCTAAGCAACAGGATGAATCCTAACAAATGCAAGCAGTGGAAACAAGAAACTGCCTGGTAGCAAGTCATTGTCACCACGAACGGCATGACATTTGCAAGAACACATAAGCCAAGTAATTTTCCCTATAATAAATCTGACAAAGACGGTTGCTTTAGTGCCCTACCTAACCCACAGATGGCAAAAAGTATGTGATACGGAGACTGGAGATACAGGAACACATATAATTGTGCAGAGCTTCTCAAAATCTTTTCAAAAGAATCGAGGAAATGGGAGAGCGCAGGGGTTCAAGCAACCCAACAAGGTGTTCGTGTTTTATTTCCACAAAAATCTCTGAAGAATAGAATACACAGATTTCCCCCACCAAACATGGCATCATTGCCACTGCACAGAACACCCAAGATCACTACAAATCAACCCTAGGAAACTCCCAAAACGATACGCATAAAACGGCTAAAAAAACTTGCAAAAAAAGAAAGGGGGGGAAAGCAAGTAGCGGACGCCCGTTGCGCAAATCAAGCGAAGAAACGGACCAAAATCACACGAAACCAAATCTCACAGCAGAACTGCATAAAAACTGCTCCTATCTACTTTTCCACTGGACACGCCTCTCTTCTAGCACGCACGCCAAGATCACGCAATGTGTTGACCCCCAAGAAGCAAGAAGAGAGCAAAACCAGGAGAGGAAGCTCACAGATCGAGCGGGGAGGGGAGTGACGGACGGAGCGACTGACCTGCGGTTCTGGAACCAGACCTTGATCTGCTTGGGCTCGATGTTGCTGAGGATGGGGCAGTCCCGGATGAGCTGATGCCGGCGCAGCGAGCTGGGCTTGGGGCACTCGCTGTAGACGCGCTCCAGCGCCTCCACCTGCTCCTGCGTGTACCGCACGTACTTGCCCGCGTCCACCTGGGGCGCGGCGGCGGCACCCGGGGAGAGCCTCCTCTCCCTGCTCGCCACCATCGCCATCGTCGCCGGCGGGCACGCCTAGTAGTGCAGGAGAGGAGAGGAGGCGGAGCAGCAGCCAGCTCCCGTGCGCGCTCCTGCCATGGGGAGGGGAGTGGGGAGTGGAGTGAAGGGGAGGAGCACCAAAGCTCTGGGCTTGTTAATAGCAGGACAGTACGGCTGCTCTGCAGCAGCAAGGAGTCATGAAAGAGATGAGCTCTCTCTCTCTCTGCTTCGTTTTTTTTTTTTAAGATTTAGGGTATTTTTATATGATTGCTGCTGATGCTCGTTCGGATATGGATTCGGCCGATAAGTTTAAGTGAACAAAACAAACATAAAAAAAATTTCATTTTATTTTCAGATTTCAGTGGAGTTTTCTTTTGTGGCCCCTTTATTTAAACAACTGATATCTTTCTAAATTTCTTTGGGCGTTTGGACCGAAAAAAATGTTTTTTTCTCACATGGAGATCTTATGACACAAACCCGGCAATAAAAACTGAGCAGAATGCCCGTTTTGAAACAAGAAATGTTGTAAATTTATTCCCATTTTGATCTCAAAAAATACCACTGGAATTGATAGCCAATTCCTAAGCCCAAACTTTTATTCAAACAAAAAACTGACAAAAACATATTTTTATCATTTTGGATTGCTATGGTGCTAAGATTGGCATGAACTCACCCACAAAATTTGAACTGAACTAGTATATATTCACAGTTTCACATGTACTGTCCGGAACAGAAAGGTTTGGTAGAGTTCACAGGATGGGTGGCAGCTTTAAACAGCATATAAAGCCCTGTCAAAGCGAGATTCTTTTGGCGCCAAGTATTTTTACATCACGCTTTTTATAAGTCTGTGTGGGTGAATCCGAATGATCTCTCTTCTCTCTCAACGGGAGCATGATCTATTCTTTTCAAGATTTCGGCTCTTTCTATGAAAAAAAATACACGTATGCTGCACGAGCATATATGCACAGTGCGACGGTGCATCAGACTGTCTCGATAGACCCAAAATAAGGCACATTCGTCTTTATGTAAAGGGTTTAATGGCCTCGTTCGCTGGACTGAACTTTAGCTAAAACTGGCTGAAAACACTGTTCCGGCTGAATTGTTATGAGAGAAAAATACTGTTCCGGCTGAAAAAATAAGCCGAACAAGCCAAATTTTAAGACAAGCGAACAAGGCCAAATATCTATTTTTGTCTTCTCCAGTATCAAAACCTAAAAAATAACTATTTTTATAAATAGGCCTTCAAGAAAAATAATATTTAGATTTAGATTACGTATCTGCCGGCACCTAAAATGAGTCTCGTATACAGCTCAAATCAGTCAAAGTGTTTCTAAGGCCTGCTTAGTTTCAAAAATTTCCACCCTAAACTATTACATCAAATCTTACGGCATATGCATGGAGTATTAAATATAGACGAAAAAAAAATTGCACAGTTTAGTTGAAAATCGCGAGACGAATGTTTTAAGACTAATTAGTCCATGATTGGCCATAAGTGCTACAGTCCCATGACACAACGACTAGGACCTCTTTAGCAGGGCTCCGGTGCCTGTCGGTCGCCCACGGGCCGACAGGAGGCTACTGTTCACCAGAGCCGTTTTTTTCTCTCCTCCTTTCCTCTCTCACAGCGACCGCCGGAGCCGGAGAAGCTCGTTTTTCGGGCTCCGCAGCTCCGCCTCCCCCTGGCACCTATCGGCCCGTGGGCGGCCGACAGGGGCGGAAGCCGGAGCCACCGGAGCCCTGCCAAACAGGTCTAAACCAAACGCCCCCTAAGTTCACGGCGTGCAGTCGATGCAGCTGCAGCCTTCACTGTAGCTAAGGACCTCTTTGGCAGGGCTTCGGCGGCTTCGGATCTTGCCTGTCGGCCGCCCACGGGCTGACAGACCGAAGCCGTTTTTCTCTCTCCTCCTTTCCTCTCTCACGGCGACCGCTGAAGCCGGAGAAGCTCGTTTTGGGCTTCGCGGCTCCGGCACCTATCAGCCCGTGGGCGGCCGACAGGGGCAGAAGCCGGAGCCCGCCAAACAGGTCCTAAAACTTCAGCTGCAGCGACAGTGCGTTGGTGATGCAGTTCCTTTCGTCCTGTCCATCTAGCCACAGTAAAAACATTCAGAGCCCAATGCAACAGTGCCGTAGCATCTCACACTACGCTGCCCGTGCCCGGCCCGTAAAACTGTCGCCGCCTCTGTCTATCATGCCCTAAATAAACAAGCGTGCCTTTGTAGATGCTGCGACGACAACACCTTTGCATTTGCACGAATTTCGCATGAAACCTTTTCAGCTCCATTTCGAAATGGGTTGGATCCTCGCAGTGCAATGTGCAATGCAAATGCAGAGAGCTCCGGACAATGACAGAGTGACAGTGCAAGCCTGCAACAAAACAAAGCGATGGCCGCCTTCTTCGCCTCTCGGGTCACCCACACCCAGCGGCTCCGATTTTTTTTTATTTTTAACACTTTTCTAAACTAATTTTAAATCTAACACTGTTTTATTTTTTTTCTAAAACTAACACTTTTGCCCGCGCCTATTTTACTGGTACGGCAAAACGTCTGCGCCGCGCCATTCACGCGGCGAGAGGAATAACGTGGCGACGACCGGGACGCTGACCGGTGACGTGGCAGGGTCTACCGCGCCACCGATCTTGGCGCGGCAGTGACGCGCTGAAAGTGCATCTAGCCCTTTAGTGAGTTTTGGGTGATTGAATGACAACACGATTAAAGGACTAACATGTTTGCTAAGTGTTAGACAGGAAATTGATTATCTCACAGATACTTGATGAAATTGTATAAAGCCAAAAACGATATATTGTTGTATAAACAATCTAGTTCAAACACAAGACAACAATGCAAATGGAATTCATGCAAAGGCTTATTTATTGTGGGATTTCAATGATCTATGTGAAAGCAAGCACGATAAGAGTTAATTAATGAGACATGAGAGATTGCATATGGAATGGTCTCATATTTGAAGCTTGCTAAATTGAAATGAAAAAGGCAACAATACAAATGAATGGTTGATTTAATACAAGATGTGACTTGACGGCTTGAGATGGTGAAGATAGCAAGAAAAGGCTTCGAGGTACTAAGCAAGGGTGAAGGGCAAGCGACGGCTTGATGGCCGAGGAACCTAGCTAGGGTGAAGAAGAAAGTACTTGCATTTAGTTGAGGTACTAATCAAGCTATGATGGTCATATTGATGTGGAGGATCAAATCTATATTGGACAAGTTGATTAAAGTGACTTGATGCATTTGGAGTTATTCATATTTGATGAATGGAATCAAGTCACGTGCTCAAGATGGCTATGCTCAAGTGACAAGATCAATATTGACATGTTGGCACCCTCACTTGATGAAGATTGAAAGACACGGCATCAATTTTAAAGATCAACTCAAAAGGTTTAATTTCGTTTTTCTTTTGATCTTGAGTTAATAGGTATGTCGTACTATTAAGAGGGTTGCAAGTTTAGGTGGTCTAAGGAAGATAGAGTGCTCAAGCATAATAAATAAAATCAAAAGAGAGACACTCTAGCACTTCACGAGCACAAATAATATTTTTCTGTGACTGTCGGTGTCGGAAGTCCCGACGTAAGCCAGAACTCCCGACAGTCGGAAGTCATGACTCTTGCCGGAACTGCTGACTCCCAGTCATAGCCTGCGTGGTGACTGTGGACGTCGGAAGTCCCGACGTGAGTCGGAACTCCCGACAGTCGGAAGTCCCGACCCAAGCCGGGAGTCCCGACATCGATGGTTCTCTGACCTGCTGTCTGTGCTCGTCGGAAGTCCCAACGTTCGTCGGAAGTTCCGACCGTTGGAAGTCCCGACATTTGTCGGAAGTTCCGACGTTGGCTGTCTCGAGTGGACTTTGACCTCGCGTGAACAGTGTTTTCTTCATACGTCGGAAGTCCCGAGATCTGTGTCGGAACTTCCGACGTAGATTTGAACAGTTAGATTTTGCCTTGAAGTATATATACCCCTCTCCTTGCTTCTAACCGTGGCCCACTCATTTCATTGCGATGAACACTCAGCCAAAACAACCCCCAAGCATTCTAGGCTCGCCACTCTTCACTCCTTTGCTTCCAACTTCAATTCCTAAAGGGTTTGAGTGTTAAGAGAGTGGATTGAGAGAGAAAATCACTTTGAGCAAGCTTGAGCACTTGATTTCTTCGTCAAGCCGGTTTGATTTGCATTTGTTACTCTTGGGGATTTTCCCCTAGCCGGCTAGGCGTCGCCCAAGAGCTTCCATCTTGTGGAAGAGCCTTGGGAAGTTTGTATTACCCTTGATTTCTAGTGAAGAAACTCAAGTGACCTTTGTGGTATCCTTGAGTGAGGCAAGGAGGTGGAAGAGACTCCGACCAAAGTGGTCACCTCAACAACGAGGACGTAGGAGCTCCTTTGTGGGGCTGCCGAACCTCGGGATAAATTCTTGTCTCCCGCGTGCTTGTTGTTGTTGTGATTTGCTCGAAATTACTTGTATTTGGTTGTCTCCCTCTCTCTAGCTATTTCTTAGGGTTTGGGACTCGATCTACGGCGTGGTGGCTTATCAACGTCAAGAGGGTGACCCAACACCTTACCTTACCACTAGGAAGTGGGTTTGTAAGTTATCGGCATCACAAAGTTCATTTTAGCACTTGCAGTTCATTTCCCGTTTGCGTCGGAAGTTCTGACCCAAACGTCGGGACTTCCGACGTTAACTGATTAGTGCATTTTGATTCAACTCTTCGGTTGCTGCTGTTTGGCTCCCTAGGTTTATCTAGTATCTTTTATATACTTTGTGGCTAACTTGTGAGGGGTGGTATTACTCTGATTTAGAGTTTCCATTTTGGAAACTCCTATTACTAATCGTTTCCGCTTCAAAAGTTGTTGATTTTTCAGAAACGCCTATTCACCCTCCCTCTAGGTGGCATCCTAGATCCTTTCAATTGGTATCGGAGCCAAGACTCACTACAAGCTTCACCGCTGTGAGAAAATGATGTCAACGCCTATCGAGTTGGAGCCAGTGCTTCTCCAAAATGATGGTTCAAACTT